CAAATTTTAATAATTTACATTCAGAACTTAATTTATATACGTTATCTTTACTGTATATGAATAAACATAGCACCAAAGTATATTTAATAAATAAAATTTTAATATTATATAAGCTCTTAACGTTATACAGAAATATTTAAATAAATCCTCAATCTCTCTTTGTTTGAGAATTTTGATATTTGTTCTCTGGGTCTTCTCTCTTCTCTAATTTATTTACTACCCCTCTGAGAAGTATGGAATTTAACAAATTACTCATTATAATATAATCTTATACAATATAGGGATCAAGACCCCTTAATTCCAATCCTGAGTTGTGAAATGTTGGCTATCTGGTTGGGGCTGGCCTATAATTATCACTCATTTACTATCCCTCCATGGAAGCTGTCTGTGACCTGATTTGGGGCAAGATGGAGTCCTTCATGTGGCCCGGGGGTATCTCTCTGGGAGGTGCTGATTTGAATTTTCACTCTGAAATGGGATATTCTGGGGAGAATTTAGACTCCCTGTTTCCTGTTCTTTCTTTCACTAGAGCTTCCTCTCCCCTTTTCTGCAGTTAGTTACACGTGTTTGTGAAGTTTTGGAGATGCAACCAGTTGCTTTTTGAGTCTACCTCTGCTTTGTTGTCCAATCACTTTCAAGGGGATTACTTAGTTTTTCCTCCTTCTCCTGATATCGCTGTGCATGCAGGGAGGTTTGCCACACAGTTACGTGAGGGTGTCGCTATGCCTCCTCATTTATCTGAAGAAGATGCACTGGTGTATCATCGTCAGGATGATATATATTTGGACATTCAAAGGTTGGATCTATGGGGTGCCAGGTACGAACCTGTTATCTCTCTTAACAGTTCGCAATTTTCATGGATTCGTTTGACTCTCACTACTGTTTTATGATATCTTGTGGGCCAGTTTGTGGACTTCTCCCAACATGTTCATATCTCATTACCTTCATGATCTGGCAGTTTCCTCTTCAATGGGATTTCATCTTCACCCTATGGCTGGGTTGACTACATCTACTAGATTTTAACAGGGAGGTGAGTAACATGTTATCTGACTTACAGTTGTTGTTCTTTTCTCTTCTAGGGTCCCTATTGATTTCTTTTGGATTCTGCTCGGTGGCAAGTGTTGCCCAGTCAGGTATACTTGTATTTAAATTCTGCACTAGCAACCTTTATATATCGGTTCCTGGTTTCAATGGGATCA